ATATCTAAAATATGAATGATTTATGTCTTGAGAGCAGAATCAGTGCCTTAATTATTCAATTTATGATGCAACGTTTTGAAAAAATATTTTTCCACGCAAAGGTTATATGCTATTTTATGTTTTTAAATAGAGGCAAAGGTGACTTGTCTTGAAAATAGTCTTCTAAACCACCGTAATATTTAAGAAGAGTAAAAAATCATGATTTATAATGTATCTATTTGTGAACCCTGAAAGGGCCAGTCCTTCGATACAGTTCCTGAGTAGCTCACTGGGCCTAAATTCAAAATACAGCAAAGCGGCCATCTGCTACTAGAGGTCCCATTCACATTCTGCTTTCTCGGAAAACCCATATGCTCACCTAACTTTGGGACTTTCATAGCTATCTGTTCCTGTTTATTTCAACTGAATCAACAGCTGCTGGAAAAATCCTATGTCGCCTTCTGGACCTAAGCAGTAGGCTGTGATTTGCACTGACCAATCAGAACTAAAGGAGCATCAACCAATCAGAATTAAACAAGTTTGCATCCCTCATTTGCATAGCAGATCAAATTGGGAACCTGGGTGGAAACGTTCTCTTGTTTCTACAAAAGACATCTCTCTGTTCCCTCAGAACACATCTTGGTTTTGTACAGAAGGCTGTGTCTCCCTGTTTACAAACTGTTTGCTGGAATGAAGTCTCTTTTCCTCTTAAGAAATAAAATCCTTTTTAGTGCATTTGTTGACATATTGCAAAAACAACTCTCACCCCAGTTCAGAGACTTTCTGAGCGAATGGAATATTAGCACGACAGCTCTACAAGTGATTCAAGTATTCTGTATCAAAATTAGTTACCTGTAATGAAATAGAGAAAGCGGAAGAGGCACTGTAAACACTTTTTTAAAAAACAAAAAGCAAATATTTTTTGAATGCATAGATACCTGAAGCAATACAAAGATTCATATTTCGGGTCCTCCCTTCAAAATAATTAAATAATACCTTTTCAAAAAATAAGTCTTTATGGACTGATACAAAGTCCTAAGAAACACACAATCTCACCTCTGCCAAAGATGTAAAACTGTACCTAACTATGAGGAAATACCAGACAAACCTAAACTGAGATACATTCTACAAAATAATTGACCTGAACTCTTTTTAAAGTGTCAGTACTATAAGAAACAGAGAAAGACAGAGGAATTGCTCCAGAATAAACAAGGTTAAAGACACAGGCCAACTGAATGTAACATATCATCTTGGATTTTCTTTTATAATAAAGTGCATTATTGGTGTCACGGGATCCTTGAGGTGTCACTCTACCACCTGGAAACCTCTGTTCCTGGCAGCGCTGTCTGCCTATTATTTGCACCCACTGGGCCTATTCCACCCACTCAGCCCAGCAGGCTGCATTCGGCTCACACTACTGGCCTGGATCCCACACCTGCCAAGGGTGAGCCAGGTGTGGAGCAGTGAGGGATATGTGGGTGAGCAAGTGTGGGGTCCGGCCACTGCATATGGCCAAGCATGGCAGCTGCTGTGGTGGGGTGGGCAGCTCCAGGTGCTGGCTCCAAGCAAGACTGCAGTTAGGCCACATGTACTGCATGCAGCTTCTGCTGTGGGCACTTGCATCTGGACAAGGGGAATGTGGTGGCATCCAGAAGCTTGGAGACACCAAGATCTGCAGAGCCCCAAAGAGGGTGTCACAGCTCTGGCTGGGGGAGCCCCTAGGTCTGGGACTCCTCTCTCCTTCTTGCCGCCTACAATGTGACAAGTGGTAGGGGCTGGAAGGGTGTGTTTCAGCACTGTTTGTGTTATAGCTTTCTGTCCCGTCATTCAATGGATCCTGAGTTCTCTCCTGAAGTCCAGAAAGAATGAGGGATGGGGACAACTGAAGGGTGAGCAAGGTGAAGAGGAGCTTCACTGAGCAACAGAACAACTCCCAGGAGACCCAAAGTGGGTAGCTCCTTCTGGCAGTTGGAAGTCCTGAGGTCTGTGTGAGTCTGGCTGAATCTAGGGTTTTTACGGGTTCAGAAGAGAGGAAGTGCATGCTGATTGGCTCATGGGAAGCCATGGGCAAGCTGGGAAAAGCACCCTATGTTCTCACTCTGGACTGCAGACTCCACCCCGAACTAGCAGCCTGGACCCCCAGACTTTAGGCCATTCCTGGCTTGAAGGTGGGGTTTCACTGGGGACCCACCAGGAACCTGTCTGCCTCCTGCCATCAACATGCTGTCCAAGGTGCCAAGGCTGTTCATGCCAAAGGGTGCCTGCAAACCTTTGCTGAGCTGCCCTCAGCTCCCCGTCCAGCTTCCCTCTTGCTCTCATTGCCGTTCAAAGTCTGGAGGTGGCAGGGGGCTGACAGGTTAGCACAGCCCTGATCACATGCACACCCAGCCAGGTATCAACAGCACCCAGGCTTGGTCACAACTTTGCTCTGCACCAGAGTGGGTGCTGGGAGCAGAGAGAGGCCAGACACTGGGAGCCAGCACTTTCAAGCCTGCAGGGGCAGGGCCTTGCCAGGTCCCTGAGAGCACAGGAATGCCCAGGTCCAGAGCCGTGACTGGGTGGCTACAGCTGCACCCAGAAATGCAGGCCTCCAGTCCTGTGAACTTGATAGGGGATGGGGCTCCTGCCACCCCACAGAGGTGCAATCTTGGCCACGCCTCCCCTATTGCAGCCAGCATCTTTGAGGCAGCCACTCCAGATGGGCTGCTGCCATCATTGGGGCACTGGCAAAAATGGAATAAGAATTGAAGATTAGGTGACAGTAGCAGTGTTAATTTTCTGATTTCAATATTGATTCTGTGGTTAGTTGAGGCATTCCTTGTTCTTAGAAAATATACAATATACACTGCAGTATTTAAGAGGGGAAGAGGAAAGTGTGAAGAGTGTATAAGAATGCTTTTTTTTTTCTTTTTTTAGGTAAAGGTCTCACTCTGTTGCACAGGCTAGAGTGCAATGGCCTGATCTCTGCTTACTGCAACTTCTGCTTCTTGGGCTCATGTGATCCTCCCAGCCTGGGCAACACAAAGAGACCCTGTCACTACAAAACATAAAAAAAAAATTAGCCAGGCATGATGGTATGTGCCCATAGTCCCAGCCTCAGCACACTGGGACAGGAGGATCCCTAGAGGCTGGGAGGTCGAGGCTTCAGTGAGCCAAGATTGCACCACTGCACTCCAACCTGGGCAACACAGTGAGACCGTCTCAAAAAAAATACTATGATAAGAGCACTCAACAAGAGATCTCTGCTGTTAAAATTTTAAATGTACAATACAATATTGTGAACTATAGGCAGAGTGTTGTACAGGAGATCTCTAAAACTTAATCATTTTGCACAACTGAAATATTATACCCATTAATAACTAATTAATTAATAGTAACTCCCCATTTCTATCTCCCTCCAGCCCCTGACAACCACCATTGTGCTTCTTGCTTCTGTGCATTTGACTATTTTGGATACTTCATGTAAGTAGAATCATGAAGTATTTGTCCCTCTGAGACTAGCTGATTTCACTTGACATAATGTCCTCAAAGTTCATTTATGTTGTCACACATAGTAGGGTCTCCTTCTTTTTTAAAGGCTGGATTATATTTCATTGTAATTATATACCATGTTTTTTTTTTCTTTTTTTTTTTTGAGACGGAGTTTCGCTCTTGTTACCCAGGCTGGAGTGCAATGGCACGATCTCGGCTCACCACAACCCTGCCTCCTGGGTTCAAGCAATTCTCCTGCCTCAGCCTCCCGAGTAGCTGGGATTACAGGCACGCACCACCATGCCCAGCTAATTTTTTGTATTTTTAGTAAAGACGGGGTTTCACCATGTTGACCAGGATGGTCTCGATCTCTTAACCTCGTGATCCACCTGCCTCGGCCTCCCAAAGTGCTGGGATTACAGGTGTGAGCCACTGCACCCGGCCCTATATACCATGTTTTTTAAATCAAATTATCCATCAATGGACATTTAGGTTGTTTCCACATCTTGGCTATTGTAAATCATGCTACAATTAATGTGAGAATGCAAATATCTCTTTGAGATAATGATAATTTAATACTTTAATTTAGATAAATATACAGAAGTGGGATGGCTGAACCAGCTGGTATTTCTATTTTTGGTTTTTGAGGAGCATCTTACTGTTTTTCATAGCAGCTGCACTATTTTGAATTCTTACTAACTGTATAAGGCTTCCAATTTTTTCACATCCTCCCCAATACTTGCTCCCTTTTGTTATTTTGACATTAGCCATCCTAACAAGTGAGAGGTGCTATCTCATTGTGGTTCTGACTTGCATTTCCCTGAGGATTAATGATGTTGACCATCATTTCTGAGTCCTGTTGGCCATTGGTATGTCTTCTTTGGAGAAGTGTCTGTTCAACTTCTTTGCCTATTTTTTTTTTTTAAGAGATGGAGTCTCACTCTGTCATCCAGGCTGGAGTGCAGTGGAGTGATCACAGCTCACTGCAGCCTCAAAGTTCTGGGCTCAAGCGACCCTCCTGCCTCAGCTACCTCAGTAGCTGAGACTACAGGCATGCACCACCATGCCCAAACCCCATTTTTAATTTGGTTTGAAGAAGCTCCTTATGTATTTTTTACATTAACCACTTATCAGATATAAGATTTACAACTCTTTTCTCCCATTTCATATGTTGCCTTTTCACTCTGTTGTTTCCTTTGCAGTTCTGGTGTCATTTTGATATGAGCTTTGTTGTTCTCTTGAAGATAATTTTTGTACACAGATATTACTCACAAAGTTTATTTTTGTTTTAATAATTGGTACTTAACATATAAAAGCTATAAATTCAAAACCCAATCTGTCAGGTTGACAGTTTACAAAAATTTGTGTCTGACATTTCTAAGAAGACTTTGAATAATATTCAGTTCCTTTTTCAAAGTTAAGTAGCTTCAATGATTTTTTAATTTTATAAAACTAATTTTTCTAATTTTATTTTTCAGACTTGATTTGTTTAGTCTGAATTAACAAACAGAATCTTCCACCGAGTTTAAATAACTTCAATACACTTAAGAGGTTAATTATACAAATAGGCTGAAACTAAAATTGTCTTAACTGTTCCATCACCATACATAAGTTGAGGAAGTTACCACCTTAGACTCTCAAGTCTAAATCAATTATTCAATTACATATCCTAGATTGAAGTTAGAAGGCTATCCCTCTATTAGGACAAATTATTTTATAAAATTACTTCAAATATCATATATGCACATATTCCTTTTAACATAAAAATATTAGTACTATGGCTCCAATTCTCTTAAGTATTTCTATACTTACCTCAAAACCTTCTGGAATGGAAAAATGATTATCCACCTGAATAAGATAATTACTATCTCACTTAACTGTGGTTGCCAACTCAGTATGAAAAACAATCTCGGCCCCAATTAATTACAAATGTTTTTGGTGTGGACACTGCATTGTTGTCAAGCCCCCTATTGGATTGAATGAACCCTATTTTTAAAATGCTATTTAATAGTTGCTGGGTCATGGGCTTTAAGATTTAAAACAGGGTAGGTTTAGCAGGTCATGGATCTCAAATTCATGGATATAAAAAATAGGCACATTTGTTGAGAAGCATTAAGTTTACCTGCCCCCGTGGCTCCCTTGTGGGGAATACCTTTTAGTTTGCAATTAGTGGTAGTTGGGTAACAGCTGTCTACTTGGTATGTTTTTGAGTTATGAGTAAATACAGAACACCTGTTTATTAATAAGAATCACATGTTTAAGAGAGACTATCTGGATGAAAATCTGCTCCCGGACCTTCAGCCTAGAATGCTGTGAGCCCATGAGGCTCTTAGCTTGGAAGCCTGCTGGGCCCCTGGATAGCCCCACTTTTCTGTTCTATATGGGTGTCTGCCTCTCATTGCCTTCAGCGCCACCTGGATGGGGGTCACCCAGCCAAGCTGGTACTCAGTAAGTGTTCCCCAAGTGTGGGGACTTGAACCCAGGACAAAGAGTTGCCTGAGCAATGGAGAGAGGAGAGGCTAAGCTGAAGGTATCCCAAGTACTCTTGGAAGAAATACCTGGGGTAAGTTGGGGAGCTCGGAAGGAGTCCAGGAACTTTTGAAAGAGTCTCCCAGGTGAGTTAGGGAGAGCCCAGAAGTAGACCGAGAACCCTTGAAAAAATCTCCCAGGGTTAGTTGGGGGAGTCCAGAATTAGCCCAAGAACTCTTGAAAAAAATCTTGCAGGTTTAATTGGGGGAGCTTGGAATTAGCCCAAGAACTCTTGTTAAAATATCCCAGGGTGAGCTGGGGGAGCTTGGTGATATTAGGGTAACAGGGGACAAAGATCACGCAAACGCAGGGCTTATTTGGTGTGGTCTGCCCTGGAGCTGTTTCAGACAGACAAGGAAGAAGATGATTCAGGAGAGAAGGAGTATGATGAAGTATGTTGAGAAATTATAGAGCAAAAGGATGAGAAGTCAAACGAGGAAAGGGTGTGTCTGTCAGCCTCCCCTCCCCGAAGCCTTAATATCTTGTTGAGGGATGGCCAGATCCTCCTGATATTTCTACCACTGCTTCTATTGGCCTGTTTATTCCCAGAACTATGGTAACCAGTTCAGGCACTTGTACTTCCAGAACTATGGTAACCTGTTCCATCCAAGCTGGAATTCAACAAGCGAGAAAAGAGGGAGATTTCAAGTCATGGCAATTTCCAGTTGTTGTACACCCTGAAGATCGGCAGGGGCAAGTACAGGTTGCTTTTGAACCCTTCCCTTTAAATTGCTGAAGCAGTTTAAACAAGCCATTACCCAATACAGGCCTGGGTCTCTGTTTGTGCTAGGATTACTGAAGAACACAGCTACTTCTTAGGGGCTGATTCCAATAGACTGGGATATGTTAACCCTAACGTGTTTATTGCCTTCTCAATTTTTTCAGTTCAGGACCTGGTGGGTTGATGAGGCTAATATTCAAGCTAGTATAAAAACATATCCTTTTTATATTACACATATTAGGGCTGATGCCACTCTCTCAGGGCCTCTCACTGCAGGCAATCAATCTACAGATCGGTTGGTTGCTACAGTTATATCTGATGCTCAATATTTCCACATATTGACACACTTAAATGCAGCAGGGCTGCAGAAAAAATATAGCTTAACTTGGAGAGAAACCAGAAGGATTATTCAGATTTGTCCAACTTGTCAGTTGGTCAATTCTCCTCCCAAATCGGGGGGTGTAAACACCCAGGGGTTAGAACCAAATACTTTGGCAAATGGACATTACTCACATCTCATCTTTTGGGAAATTAGGATATGTACATGTTTGTGTGGATACTGTTTCACACTTTGGGCTACATGTCAGACTGGGGAATCATCCGCTTGTGTCAAAAGACATCTTATACAATGTTTTGCTGTTATGGGTATTCCATCCTCCATAAAAACTGATAATGCCCCAGGATATATTAATCTTTAACAGAATTTTTTACACGATGGAAGATCACACATATAACAGGTATTCCACATAACTCTCAAAGGCAGGCCATTGTGGAGTGAATGAATCTTTCCCTTAAACAGCAGCTACGGAAACAAGGAGGGACAAGGAATATCAAACCCCACAAATGCAGTTAAACCTGAAATTGCTGGCTTTGAATTTTTCGAGTTTGCCAAGAGGAGGACAATTAACAGCAGATGAACAACACCTGAATAAAGCAAGGAAGAAACTGTAAGGCAATTAATCTGGTGGTGAGATCCATTCACAAAGAATTGGGAAAAGGCAATGTAGTAATATGGGGTGGAAGATTTGCTTGTGTTTCTTCAGGTCCAAATCAACAACCAGTGTGGGTACCATCCAGACATTTAAAGCTGTGCTATGAGCCAGATACCAAAAAAGAGACTTGCAGAGGAACCCCCAGTTACAGATACGGCAAGACTAACATGGAGGGGGAGTACATATCTTGTGGTGGTGAAAGTTGCAAATTGACTTCCTTAACTTTAAAAGTGTAATGAGATGGAACATGACAGGGGAGAATAAAACATCACCTCGAAAGACCTTTAGACAGCAAGCAAGGAGCAAGGGACCCAGAAGACCTTTGATGCCCCTTTTCAGCAGGAAGTAGTTATGGAACGACCTCTGCCCCATTTTCCAAAAGATTTCTGGGTCCCAACTTCGTAAGGAAGAAATGTAAGATTTGGCAGTTAGTCAGCCTCTGGGGTGCTTTGGGAAGCTGCTGATGGATTGCCAGCCCTAAAATCTGGATGAAAACACATCAAGGATCTATTATTGCTGTTGTGATTATGTTATTAATCTGTTTTGTTTCTCTCTGTGTAGTCTGCAGGTGCGGATCCAGAATCCTCTAAGAAACAGTTCACCAAGATAGAGCTGTACTTGCTTACCTAGCGTTGTTGAAACAAAGAAGGGGGAAGATGTTGAGAAACATTAAGTTTGCCCTGCCCCGTGGCTCCCTTGTGGAGAATACCTTTTAGTTTGCAATTAGTGGTAAGCGGATAACAACTGCCTACTTGGTATATTTTTGAGTTATGAGTAAATATAGAACACCTGTTTATAAGTAAGAATCACCTGTTTAAGAGAATAAATATGTGGTTTTGAATCTGCTTGGGGCCTTCAGCCTGGAATGCTGTCAGCCCCTGAGGCTTTCAGCTGGGTAGGCTGCTGGCCACCGATAGACCCACTTTGCTCTTCTATCTGGGTGTCTGCTTCTCATTGCTTTCAGCACCACCAGGGTGGAAGTCTCCCAGCCAAGCTGGTGCTCGGTACACATTAATTTCTCCGTACGCTCACAGATGTCTCTGGCACCTGCTGAGGTTTGTCATGTGATTGCATTTCATATTTCCTGAGCTGTTAAGAAATATACTTTTCTATAAACATAGCTTAGTAGATAAGATCTCTGTTTTTGAAGTCAGACTGTCTGGGTAAGCATCCAACTGTGACCATAGGAGCATTACTTAGCATTTTTGCACCTTAGTTTTCACATTTGTAAAAATGAAAATAACAGTACCTACCTCATAGGGTTATTCTAAGAATAAAATGAATGAATGAATATTTATAAAGCACTTAAGCAGGGCTTGGCACACTCCTATCTACAAACACTTATCCAGTACTTACTGATAAGGAGTACTGCTCCCCAGATGACTTGTACTTGCCCAAAATTTTGAAAGCCACTATCACAGAACTGTGGATCCTCAAGGGCATGGTCTATTTCAGTACCCTTGTCTTTTGACATATATTAGTTTGGTGAGATAGTTATTGCAATTTTTGCCATTACTTTTAATTAAAAGTAATTGGCCAGGCGTGGTGGCTTACACCTGTAATCCCAGCACTTTGGGAGGCTGAGGCAGGTGGATCATGAGGTAAAGAGATCAAGACCATTCTGGCCAACATGGTGAAACCCTGTCTCTACTAAAAATACAAAAAAAATTAGCTGGGTGTGGTGGTACATGCGTGTAATCCCAGCTACCGGAGAGGCAAGGCAGGAGAATCATCTGAACCTGGGTGGTGGAGGTTGCAGTGAGCCAAGATCATGCCACTGCACTCTAGCCTGGCAACAGATGGAGACTCCGTCTCAAAAAAAATTTGCCATTAAAAGTAATGACAAAAACTGCAATAACTTTTGCACCAACCTAATATGTAGTACAGAGTAGGCACCAAGCATATGATTGATAAATGATTGAATGTCTGTGCTAGAAAGCAAGTTTTTATCCCTCTCAGGGTGGCATTTTTAGATTTTTAGTGATCCTCCCACCTCGGCCTTCTGAGTAGCTGTGATCACAGGCATGGGCCAGCATGCCTGCTACAATTCAAGAATCTATAACAATTGTAACTATAATTTGTTATTTTGGATACAATATTGTAACCAATATCATAAGCCATTGATAAGAAACGCTCTTTTAACTGGTATCAGGATGTTGATAAGAAACTCTCTATTAGGACAACATTATGAGCCATTGATGAGAAATTCTCTTTTAACTAGTGTCAGATGTTGTCGTAATAGAGAAGGTATAGTACCTTCTCTATTAGGCAGAACCTGTGGGTAAAATTCGATCTCTTTCCTTGAATAAATTAGGCTTCGTCTTGAACTAAATGTGTGATTTTTCCTTACAGTGTCTCTAATGGGTTGCAGAGGTTGTTTTTATTGTTAACTTTAAAAAAGTCATAGTCAAATTTGCAATCCAACTTAAACGACTGTACATGATGGTGTCCAGTACACACATATTCTCTGCACTGAACTTATCCCGGGTTACTGTTTTCTCCTAATATTATTAATGTATTCTGATTCCTACAGTGCATTTCTAACTTGCTTTATCGTGTATATTTTTTCAGACACATCAAAACCTCTCAGATGAGCCACCTAGGAAGACAAACAGGAAGAAAATGAGGATATCAAAATTGTAACACCTCTCAAGAATGACTGTGGGGGAAAAGAGGGATGCAAGTAGTTAATACTGAAAAATGAAAGCCACAGGCTGAGAACTAGTCAATGTGTCATTAAGCACTACAAGGGAAGAGAATAGACTAACAAGCTGTCAGAAGTACTTGGGCCTGCTGGGCAGATGCATTCTTCTGGCGAAGACCGCTAAGTCTGGCTTGCATCATTCCCCATTCTCTGATTTCATCTTCCTTGAGCATCCTTCAGATTTGTATTCCTCAAAGAACGTAAACATGTTTCAGTGTTGACTATGTTTTACGTATAGTATTTAATTTTACAGCAATCCCAGGAGTTGTTCCCCCTATTTTACAGCTGAGAAAAAATAGCCATTTTTTCTTTGCTTTTTTTTTTTCTTTCTTTGAAATAGGGGTTCACTCTGTCACCCAAACTGGAATGCAGTGGCATGAACAGGGCTCTCTGCAGCCTTGACTTCCCAGAATTGTCTGATCCTCTCACCTCAGCCTCCCAAGTAGCTGGGACTACAGGCACTTACCACCATGCCCAGATAATTTTTTTTTTTTAATTTCTGTAGAGACAGAGTTTCACTATGTACTCAGGATGGTCTTAAACTCCTAGGCTCAAGCAATCCTCCTGTCTCAGCATACCAAAGTCCTGGGATTTACAGGCATGAGTCAAGGCATCTGGCCATAGCTAGTCATTTCTGCCAGGAGCTGCCACTCTGGCCTTCAAATATCCACAACACTTCTCTTCCCACACATACAAAACACCACATCTTTATCTAAGTGAAGGATCTCCATTTGATGCTTGTTGCCACCATCATATTTAAATGTAGATCCACATAGTATAGCAACCTAGGAAGCAGAAGTCAACATATCTACCCACTCATGACACACCTGTTAAATAAAGTGTAGCCTAGAGCTGCCTCCTAACATACTTGAAGTTCAGCCTAAAGGTTTCTCTGTATATAGTGAATGGTAATCTAGTTGGATGTGTAAACAGACTATAATCTATTCTTAAATCAATCACCATATTTTAGCCAATCAAAGGCAACCAACTGTTTATACTATATTCAAATGAGACAAACACCCAGCTGTAAGCAATCCAGCTGTTTCTGTATCTCACTTCCGTTTTCTGTATGTCATTTTCTTTTTTCTGTCCATGAATCCTCTCCAACCACACAGCAGTGCCAGCAGTGTATCTATTCTGGTTTAGGGGAACTACCCGATTTGCAAATGGTTCTTTGCTCAATTAAACCACAGAGTGTGTTAAGTTTTTCTTTTAACACAACCAGTATGCACTGATGGATCAGGGGCAAAGTAAAGATAACAAAAGTAAGCTTCCCATTTGGAAAGAGACTGATGGGAAGCTCAGCAGTCCTGGTCTACAGAAGTGATGAAATGTTGCAAAGCAGGCATGGTGAAGACCTCCTAGTCACATGGCTACATTGATTTGTTCAATCTTAAAATTGGATAAACCTTCCACTCCTCCACATTGTGTAAAGCAAGTTAGTAGGCTGATCAGCTGATTTTTATTGTGTTATTAAATATCTGGCTTTCTAAATAGATTACAAGCCTTGTACAAAATTTCTTATTCACCACTGTATCCCAAGTGATTAACAAAGTGTCTGGCACATAGGTTATATTCAATAAATATTTGTTGAATGAATAACATAACCGTTATAGTCCACTTGGCCATTAAATTTTTCAGTGTAAATTAGAAAACAGAAATTTTGAGTTACATATCAGTCTTCACTGAATTTGCTCAGGATGAATCATTCCTCTGGAAGCAGGGTTGCTAGCCTGACTGAGTTTTTTAACTTACAGAGTTAAGATCTAGTATATTGGACAGCCGATGCCTTGTTTTTTTTTAAAATAATGCCTATATCAGCAAAATGCATACAATCATAGGGTTTTGTTGTATGTTTATTTGCTTTTCTTGAGAAGCAGAGAATTGTACACTAGATTAATCATCTAATTATGTTTCTTGGCTTGTTGCACACTTTCAACATCACTGGTCGAAGCCCTTTTTTATTTTATGGATTTAATGATATGAATAACACCGTACATTTATCACCCGACCTGATGTCTGCTATGGGCTCCTCTTCTGTTCTGCCCCTAACTTCTCCTCATCTTGTAGCTTGGAAGTAACCACTAGTCTCCATTTTGCTTTTCTGTGCCTTATTTTTCAGTGTTTTCACATACACGTATATTACATACATAATATTACTAAGATTCACTCATGGCGTTGTGTGTAGTTTTATCTCATTGATTTTCCCTTAAGTACAATGCTCCGCTGTGAAACCCACTATCAGTTTTCCTGTGTATGGTCATTTGGGCTGTTGTCAGTTTTTGGCAGTTGTGAACAGGAAGCTGTGAACATGCTTGATAAATGGAAAAAGTTTCTAGCAGTGGAAATGCTGAGTCATAGGTCATAGATAATTCAACTTTATAAAATAATTCAAATAATTTTCCGAAGTGGTTATACCAATGTATACTCCCTGCAGTGATATACAAGGTCCCACTGGTATTATCTAACTTCTTGTTTTCCTTTAAATTATATTTCGATTTGCCTGACAATGCCAATTCTCTATGAAAATGCCAAAATATATTTTGAATGTACTTATCACATGATTTTAGAATGACCAAAAAAAAGACTGTAATGCCAAACAATTTGTATTTTGGGCTTACAATAATGAATTTTACATTCATGTATGAATATATGTAACATTGTTTTAAAATGAGTAACATTGATACAGTTAGAAGAATTTTATTACTATGTAATTTCTTCCCTTTCTAATTTTTTATTCCTTAGGGTGGACTAGAGCCTCTAGCAACCCACTAGTCTCTTCCACACTCATACAATACTCTGTACATACCTTTATCTTAACACTTAGAGCAGAAACTATTTGCCTTCCTGTATTAGTCCATTTTCATGCTGCTGATAAAGACATACCTGTGACTAGGTAATGAATAAAGAAAAAGAGGTTTAATGGGCTCACAGTTCCACATCGCTGGGGAGACCTCACAATTATGACAGAAGGTAAAAGGCACATCTTACATGGCAGCAGAGAGAGAAAATGAGAAAAGGGAAGCCCCTTATAAAACAATCAGATCTCATGCCTTATTTGCTACCATGAGAAAAATGTGGGGGAAACCGTCCCCATGATTCAATTATCTCCTTCCACAACACATGGGAATTATGAATTTCGGGAGCTAAAATTCAAGATGAGATTTTGGTGGGGACACAGCCAAATCATATCACCTCCAATATCTGTTCTTTCTTTCTTATAGTTATGGAACTTTTATGTAGGCACAGAGTTGCTAAGGTAAAACTGCCAGCTTTCCTTGTAGGTAGTTATGGCCATGTTGCTATGTCTGTCCAATGATATGTAAGCAGAAGCGACAGGGAGACTTCTGGGTTATGTCCCTAAAACATCACTTCTACTGGAAGTTGAACATGAAGCCAGGAGTTGGAGTAACCATCCTGACTCTATTAAGGAGGCTGTACCTTGAGAATAGCAGTTACAAGACAGAAGACTAGGTCCCTGATGTCTTCAAGTAGAGCAGCCAGCCTGGACATAAGAAATACATTTGTCATATTAAAATATGCTGTAGTAGTAAACCCAAAATGTATATCCTAATACATAATTTATACCTAAAAGTAAGATGATATTGTAATAAAACCTATAACAAGAGGCATTGGCAGTCAGGCAGCAGGTGATGAGCATATTGTAGACTGTAACACTGGCAACTCTTCTGCTTGGCTCAACACTTCGTAAAACTGTCACCATATGATCCCTTAAAATTTAGACCACATCCATGTAGAGCCTATAGCTCTATGGTAGTGTTTCTAAATATGTGTCATATTTGAATTTCCAGTAAAGCAATTTTTCTGTGGTTCAAGAATGCCTTGGGCATTTGAGGATGTTCAGTATTTTTGCTTGTAACACGTGAAATGCTCAGTCAATACAACAAACAAAAACATTCCCATGTTCTTCCTAATGTCCCTTTTAAGAGCTGACCCTAGATAAGAACTGCTGCATTAGAGGAAGTAGCTAGAAAACAATGTCAGAACATCAGTGTGCTGGATGCTTCTTCCCATGTTTGCCAAGGTCCTATAAGAAAGAGAAACTCAGTGCTATGGTTTGAATGTTTCCCCCCAAGTTCATGCATTGGAAACTTAATCCCCAATGCAGTAGTGTCCAGAGGTAGGGCCTAGAAGAGGTGATTAGAACCCGAGGGCTCTGCTTTCATTAGTGAATAATACTGTTATTGTGGGATTGAGTTAGTTATTGTGAGAGTGGGAATCTAATAAAAGGATGAGTTCAACCCCTCTCTCTCTCTCTCTCTCTCTCTCTCTCTCTCTCCTCTCTCTCTCTCCTTCTCTCCCCCGTACACTTTTTTACATGTTTTGTTACCCTTCCACCTTCTGCCACCATGAAATAATGCATCAAGAAGACCCTCACCAAATACATGCCCCTTAATCTTGGACTTTCCAGTTTCCAGACTGTAAGAAATATATCTTTGCCCTAGGCTGGGCGGAGTGGTTCATGCCTGTAATCTGATCTTTGGGAGACCGAAGTGAGCAAATTAGGAGATCAGGAGATCGAGACCAGCCTGGCCAACATGATGAAAATCCTGTCTCTACGAAAAATGCAAAAACTAGCTGGGTACAGCGGCAGATGCTGTAATCCCAGCTACTCGGGAGGCTGAGCCAGGAGAATCGTTTGAACCCAGGAGGTGGAGGATGCAGTGAGCCAAGATGGCACCATTGCACTCCAACCTAGGTGACAGGGTGAGACTCCATCTCAAAAAAAAAAAAAAGAAAAAGAAATACATCTTTGCTTTTTTTTTTTTTTTTTTTTGAGACGGAGTTTCGCTCTTGTTACCCAGGCTGGAGTGCAATGGTGCAATGGCGCGATCTCGGCTCACTGCAACCTCCGCCTCCTGAGTTCAGGCAATTCTCCTGCCTCAGCCTCCCGAGTAGCTGGGATTACAGGCACGCACCACCGTGCCCAGCCAATTTTTTGTATTTTTAGTAGAGACGGGGTTTCACCATGTTGACCAGGATGGTCTACGATCTCTTGACCTCGTGATCCACCCACCTCGGCCTCCCAAAGTGCTGTGATTACAGGCGTGAGCCACCACGCCCGGCCTGCTTTTTATAAATTACCTCATCTCAAATAACCTGTTATTGCAACACAAAATGGACTAAGACACCCAGGCAAATTTTACAGATATGGACAGAACACAGCTTGGGAAATTAGGCGGGCTGGATGTAGAAACTGGATGGGAGCTCTCGATGACTTGCAAAGGAGAGTCACCATGTCAGCTCAAATACTTAAATGAAAGAGAAATATACTGGCCAGGTGCAGTGGCTCGTGCTTGTAATCCCAGAACTTTAGGAGGCAGAGGCAGGTGGATCATTTGAGCTCAGAAGTTTGAGACCAGCCTAGGCAAAACCCCATCTCTACAGATAATAATAATAATAATAATAATAAGCCAGGTGTGGTGGTGCAAGACTGTAATCCCAACTACTTAGGAGGCTGAGATGGGAGGATTGCTTGAGCCCAGGAGGCAGAGGTTGCGGTAAGCCAAAATCACGTCACTGCACTCAAGCCTGAGCAACAAAGCAAGACCCTGTCTCAAAAGAGACAGTGAGAAATGAACTTACTGCATAAACCTTATCAATGTCAGATCTCTCTTATATAAATTGGACCCATATGCGAAATAATACAACACTTACCACCCTGATTTACAATCTTTGACTAGATTTAAAGTGGTTTGAGGTCTGGAAACCTGTCATTTTTGTTTTTATTTTCAATGTCTAGGACAGTGTTGGGTATTTTAAACATCTTTCTTGCTCTCAGAAAGCAAAAATAAATTCTGAGCCAGACAGTGGAATATTATTCAACAGTAAAAAGAAATAAGCTATCAAGCCATGAAAAGACATGGAGAAAACTTAAATACTAATCGCTAAGTGAAAGAAGCCAATCTGGAAAGGCTGCATGCTGTATGATACCAACCATATAATCTTCTGGAAAATGCAAAACTATGGAGACAGGAAAAGATCAGTGGTTGCTAGGGGCTTATGGCCCTCCCAGTGATGAGTAGGCAGAGCACAGAGGATTCTTAGGGCAGTGAGTCTACTTGTTATACTTTAATGGTGGATACATGTCATTACACATTTATTCAAATCATAGAATGTATAACACCACGAGTGAATTCTAATGTAAGCTATCGACTCTGGGTGATAATAATTTATCAATGTAGGTTTATCCATTGTAACAAATGTACCACTTTGGTGGGCGATGTTGATAATGGGGGGTTTTGTGTGTGTGTTGTGTATGTGTGTGTGTGTGTGTGTGTGTATGTGGTAGGAGGCAAATATACGGCAACTTTCTACTCAATTTTTTGGTGAACCTAAAACTGCTCTAAGCAAATGAAGTCTACTGTAATTTTTTTAAAAGTTCTTCCTCAGACATAAACTACTGATTACATGAATTGGTGCCATGACATTTGATATGGTTTGGATCTGTGTCCCTGCCCAAATCTTATGTCAAATCGTAACCTCCAGTGTTGGAGGTGGGGCCTGGTAGGAGGTGACTAGATCATAAGGGTGGATTTCTCCCTTTGGTGCTGGTCTCATGATAGGGTTCTCACAAGATCAGGTTGTTTAAAAGTGTGACAAGGTCATTTTTGTTATGCATTACCAAAGCACCTGGCTGCATTGCCCCCTGCCCTAGGGATCTGTGAAACTTTGAACTTGACAATGATTTAGCTTATCTGGCAGAAGAAATTTCTAAGCAGAAAAGTCCAAGATGTGGCCTGGCTGCTTCTGATATCTATGTTCATGTGTGAGCAAAGAAGTGATATGATACTGGAACTTATATTTAAAGGGAAGCTGAGCATAAAAGTTTGGAAAACTTTTAGCCCAGTCATGTGGTAGAAAAGAAAAGCCCATATTTGGGGGAGAAATTCAAGTAGCTGCAGAAATTTGCATAACTAAAAGGAAGGTGAATGCTGATAGCCAAGACAATGGAGAAAACACCTCGAAGGCACTTCAGAGAACTTTGTGGCAGCCTCTTCCATCACATGCCTAGAGACCCAGGAGGGAAAAATGGTTTCCTGGGCCAGGACCAGGGCCCAGCAGTGTGCAGCCTTAAAACACTGCTTTTTGCATCCCAGTCTTCAGCTCCAGCTGTGGCTTAAGGGGGCCCAGGTACAGTTCAGGCCACTGCTTAAGAAGGTTCAAGCCATAAGCCTAGGCAGCTTCCATGTCCTGTTAAGCCTATGGGTACACAGAGTAAAAGAGTTGAGCCCTGGGAGCCTCTGCCTAAATTTCAGAGAATGTATGGAATAGCCTGGATGTATAGGCAGAAGTCTGTTGTAGGGGCAGAGTCCTCATGGAGAACTTCTACTAGGGGAGCGTAGAAAAAAAAAGGGGAGGCTGGAGCTCCACACAGAATTCCTACTGGGGCACTGCCTAGTGGAGCTGTGAGATGAAGGCCACCATCCTCCAGACCCCAAAATGGTAGATCCACCAGCAGCTTGCACCCTGCACCTGGAAAAGATGCAGGCATTTAATGTCAGGTCATGAGAGCAGTCACAGGGACTAAACCCTGCAAAGTCACAGGGTGGAGCTGCCCAAGAATTTAGGAGCCCACCTCTTGCACCAATGTTCCCTAGATGTGCAACATGGAGTCAAAAGGGATTATTTTGGAGCTAAGATGTAATGACTGCCCTGATGGGTTCTGGACTTGCATGGGGCCTGTAGCCTCTTTCTTTTGACCAATTTTTTCATTTGGGAATAAGAATATTTACCCAATGCTCATACCTCCATTATATCTTGGAAGTAACCAACTTGGTTTTGATTTTACAGGCTCATAAGGGGAAGGGGCTATCCTTGTTTCTGTACTTTTGATGAGACATTGGACTCTGTACTTTTCAGTGAATGCTGGAGTAAGATTTTGAAGGACTATCAGGAAGAAATGCCTGTATTTCGAATGTGAGAAGGACATGAGATTTGGGAGGGACTGTAGCAGAATGATACAGTTTGGATCTGTGTCCCCACCCAAATCTCATGTTGAATTGTAATCCCGTGTTGGAGATGGGGCCTGGTTGGAGGTGACTGGATCAAGGGAACAGATTTATCTTCTTGGTGTTGTTCTCATGATAGTGAGTTTTCGAGAAATCTGGTTTAAAAGTACGTGGTACCACCTCTCTCTCTTCTTCCTGCTCTTGGCCATACGAAGTGCTCACTTTCTCTTTGCCTCTCACCATAATTGTAAGTTTCCTGAGGCCTCCCTAGAAGCCAAGGAGAAGCTGCCATGCTTCCTACACAGCCTGCAGAACTGTGAGCCACTTAAACCTCTTTTCTTCATAAATTACCTAGTCTCAGGTATTTCTTTATAGCTGTGCAAGAATGGACTAATACAACATTTGATGATGAATACTTTATATACATACAGTTAACTTTCAAATGTAAGATGTTTTTTCCCTTAGGGCATGACCAATAAGTCTAATATGAGCTGAATGGCCAGCACTAGGTCTACATTAAGGGTACTACATTGAATGCTTCAACAGGCTTGATGATGCAAAGAGAAATAGAGCATAGATGTGGCTAAGTAATCACTTCTTTGTATGATAAGAATTGGGTGAGCATATGTCCTGGTTTGCTCAGGGCAGTCCCAATTTGTATCTGTTTTGTAACATATTAATCATGGCCCCTTTTATTTTCAAAAATGTCCTGGTAAGAGTGGGTCTTCTCCCCATCTGTCCCACCTAGCTCAAAACAGCATGAAAAAGAACAAGCCCAAAATTCTGGGCTCCTCAAACACAGATGATATCTCACTCCTCATGAGCTAGTAAAACTACTAACCTCCAGGCCATCTTATCAAGTAGATATATCCACTTTCTTGCATCTTTGATCATACATATGTATATATTGAGATGGAGTCTTGCCGTGTCACCCAGGCTGGAGTGCAGGGGCACGATCTTGGTTCACTGCAACCTCTGCCTCACAGGAAACAAAAAGGAAAGTGGATTCACACAGACCTGCAGAAATGCACACAGGGTGTGAAGAGGGTTTAAACTTCCAACATGGAGGACTAGAATGTCTTGATTTATTTCTAGGCCATCTATTCTATTCCAGTGGCCTACTTGCTTACTTCTAAACAAATGCGATTACAATGTGGTGGCTTTATAGTATAAAAGAGTTTAATAACAGGTTTATGTATGTAAATTTAACAGAGATCATCTAATGCAATAATTTGTGCTAACAGGTTAACTCAGTCTTACAGAACTCAGAATAAAACTCATCTTTCTTTCCAACTCTGTGTATGTATTTGAACTTTTAATTGTACTTTAAATTCTGGTATACATGTGCAGAACGTGCAGGTTTGCCACATAGATATACATGTGCCGTGATGGTTTGCTGCACCCATCAACCTGTCATCTACATTTGGCATTTCTCCTAATGCTATCCCTCCCCTAGTCCCTCACTCCCTGACTGGCCCCGGTGTGTAATGTTCCCCTCCTTGTGTCCATGTGTTCTCATTGTTCAACTCTCACTTATGAGGGAGAACATGCAGTGTCTGGTTTTCTGTTGATGTATTAGTTTGCCGAGAATGATGGTTTCTACCTTCATCCACATCCCTGCAAAAGACATGAACTCACCCATTTTCATGGCTGCATAGTATTCCATGGTGCATATGTGCCATATTTTCTTTATTTAGTCGATCATTAATGGGCATTTGGGTTGGTTCCAAGTCTTTGCTATTGTGAACAGTGCTGCAATAAACATACATGTGCATGTGTCTTTATAGTAGAATGATTTATAACCCTTTGGGTATATACCTAGTCATGGGATTGCCGGGTGGTATCTCTGTCTGTATTTGAACTTTCTACAACTTTTAATAACAGAAACAAGCAAATGTGAGACTAATACTGTGCAAAGGAGCAATGGTCAATCTTAATCTGATTACAAATGTTTGAAAAAAGAAGGCTCACTCTTATGATTGCCATTATAATAAGTGATGGCTATAAAATTAAACTTGTAAAGTTATCTTAATCAAATATTACTTTTCTGTATATATATTTTTATATACATTACTCCATATGATTGTTTATAAAATGGGTGCCATCCAGTACAAGTTTTTAAACTATTGTTCTAACACATAAATTTGTGCCGCCTCCAACAGCAATGATTCAACTGTTTATCTGGTTATATGGTTCACATTATCACCAAGTACACTCTTTAAAGTGTCTAGTTCAGTCACTTTTATAAAGCACAATCACGAAGCTGTGCATTGATTACCACTACCCAATTCCTGTTTGACTTTTTTTATTATTTAAAAAAATGGAAAAGCAAAAGTACATTTTTCATTCAATACATGTTTCATTCTTATGCGGTTTTGTTGCAGAAAGTGAAGTCCATGCCTTTAAAATGATAGCAGTTTACCAACCAAATAATCCGTCTTCACACAGTTTCAATAACTGCAGCAATTTCCTTAAACTGTCTGTAGAAATTCTGGAGAGAAAGGGGGAAAATAATATTAATTTTGCTTTTAGAAGATACTTAAGTAGTTATTTTAATGATATCTGACTATGTAGAGACTATGTTAACATATTGTTTGCATTTTAATGTTACATTCTCAATTACTGAAGATTGCAATAAGAAATAAACAGGTGCAATTTGGTACTGTAAGCAAAAATACTACTGTAGAGTTGGATAATTATCTCATGACTAAACTTTTAATAAAAGGCACATGAGAATGTCCTTTTAAGATCACACCAGAGGCTGGGCGCAGTGGTTCATGCCTGTAATCCCAGCACTTTGGGAGGGCGAGGCAGAAAGATCATCAGGTCAGGAGTTCAAGACCAAACTGGCCAACATGGTGAAACCCTGTCTCTACCAAAAAATACAAAAGTTAGCTGGGCATGGTTGCTCGTGCTAGTAATCCCAGCTACTTGGGAGGCTGAGGTAGGAGAATTGCTTTAACCGGGACCTGGGAGGTGGAGGTTGCAGTGAGCCGAGATCGTGCCACTGCACTCCGGCCTGGGCTACAGAGCAAGACTCCATCTCAAAACAAAACAAAAAATAAATCACACCAGACTTATTAAATGTCCAGCACTGTCCTAGACACTGAAAATAAAAATAACAGGTTGGTTCCAGGCCTCAAAACACTAAATCTAGTAAAAGACTGCATTTCAGTGTGGTAGGGACTGTCTCATTTAAGATTATGGGTTCATTTACTAGAAGAAATATCCAACATTAACAATGGCTTATACAGTAGAAGTTTGTTTCTCTGTTATTTAAAAATTACGCTGGCATAATGGTTCTCCTATAGAGGTCATCTGCTTCTAAATCTCAGGTAAGAAAGGAATCAAGCAAATTGTTCTCCTATCTTCTCTTGTACCTGCCAGGAAGCTAGGAGGCAAATCTGAAACTTAACCTTAGCAATCAAGATACCATCTAATAATTTACACACCTGCATTTTCCTTCTTATTTAGTCTTAATTTTCTATTTTGCTACTTAAGAGGATATGTATTGTTTTCATTTATATGTAAATTTGTCACAGAATGAAACAAAGTGTACCTATTTCTTTAAATATATGTATCGATGTTCAAAATTTTAGTTATCAAAAAGATATAAATTAAAGCTCAAAGAATGTTTCTTAGCTCTCAGTCATGTAATGTGATTAACAGGCTATCCTGTGATTAGTTTTAAGCTATGTAAAAACTATCTTTAAAAGAATTGCCTCTAATGAAAATGTTTTTTGTGTATATTTATATTTAATATGTTTATAATGTATGCATATATTGTATGGATATACTATTTATGTGTATACATACATACAATGGAGTATCACATAGCCAAAAAAAAGAAGGAAATCCTGCCATTTGCAACGTGGATGAACCTGGACAACATTATGCAAAGTGAAATAAGCCAGACACAGAAAGGCAAATGCTGCGTGATCTCATGGGGGGAATCTGTAAAAGTCAAACTCACAGAAGCAGAGAGGAGACTGGAAGTTGCCAGGAGCTGAGGTTGGGGTTAATGGGGAAATGTTAGTAAAAAGTTTTTAAACCTAATAATGTTTACAAAATGCAGGTCAGGGCAACTGTACTTGCTGCTCTAACCTTTTCAAACCTTTGGTTATAAAATGAGTAAGTCTGAGATCTAATGTTCAATATGGTGACAATAGTTAATAACACTGTATTGTTTACTTGAAGTTTGCTTTTAAAAAAGTAGATTTTACATGCCCTCACCAAACACACATACACACCAAAAAAAAAAAAAAGGTAACTATGTGTGGGAGTGAATATGTTAATTAGCCTGATTGTGGTAATCATTACACAATGTATATCAAATCATCACATTGTGATGCCTTCAAAATACACAATTTTAATTTGTCAACTGTACCTCAATAAAGCTGGGGAATAAAAGTTAATCCATTTGTGATTTTTTTTTCCTATGGGAAAAAATGTTATAAGTGGAATTAAAAGAGCTGCAAAGAATAACAAGAACTGGGCCAGTACCTGTGAATTACAAAAAAGACCAAAATGTATATTCTCTTTTCAAATTGACTGAGTCCTCATATTTAGTTGAATGTTATTCCCATATCACAATATACATTTATTTCCTTTTCACTAAGTCTCTGTCCTTCCAAGACACTAACAGTAATGTTAAATTTGTGACGATTATTTTTGTTTCAAAGCAGTAATAGCTATTTTAAAGAAAAAAATAAAAAATCAGGCTGAGCATGGTGGCTCACACCTGTAATCCCAGCACTTTGAGAGGCTGAGGCAGGTGGATCAACTGAGATCAGAAGTTTGAGACTAGCCTGGCCAACATGGTGAAACCCCATCTCTACTAAAAATATAAAAATTAACTGAGTATGGTGGTGGGTGCCTGTAATCCCAGCTACTTGGGAGGCTGAGGTAGGAGAATTGCTTAAACCCAGGAGGTGGAGGTTGCAGTGAGCAGAGATCATGCCATTGTACTCCAGCCTGGGTAACAAGAGTGAAACTGTGTCTCAAAAAAAAAAAAGGCCAGGCGCAGTGGCTCAAGCCTGTAATCCCAGCACTTTGGGAGGCTGAGATGGGTGGATCACGAGGTCGAGAGATCGAGACCATCCTGGTCAACATGGTGAAACCCCGTCTCTACTAAAAATACAAAAAATACAAAAAATTAGGTGGGCACGGTGGTGAGTGCCTGTAATCCCAGCTACTCGGGAGGCTGAGGCAAGAGAATTGCCTGAACCCAGGAGGCAGAGGTTGTGGTGAGCCGAGATCGTGCCATTGCACTCCAGCCTGAGTAACAAGAGTGAAACTCCGTCTCAAAAAAAAAAAAAAAAAAAAGGAAATCAAAGGGAAAGAAATTATTTAAAATGTAGTTTATAAAAGCAGAAATCAAACATATCATAAAGTGGTATATGAAAAGCTTTTCTTTAAAAGGAACCCTAGGAACGATATACTTTCAGTTAGTTTTACAAAGAATCACTTTTTATTTCCATTTCATTCATGATCGTTGCATTTCTTCGACTTTTAGAGTACTAACTGCTGTTTAAGTACTAAGTGTAAGCACTAAGTTAGTACTAGTGTAAATGCTAAGAACAGATTCTTACCTATTCACTCACCAAAAGGAGCAAACCAAACAAAACTGTACAGGACAGTTAAATTAATGACGAAACATCTCCCAGGATGTACATTTAAAAGAAAACCTGATTTATTGACAACTCCCTTTCCTTTTATTCCCCTTGGTTACAGAAAAGAGGTAGAATGATAATATGGTAACATAACTCTAAACAACTGAGTTCCTTACGCCCCTAGCTGATAAAGTCAGCCAGCAAGTACAGTTGCTCTGACCTGCATTTTGTAAACATTATTAGTCAGAAATTTAGGGTCAACACTATTGAAAGACTCATTTAGCTTAACATTCTTGAATATGAAGCCCAAAGGAATAAGAATCAAACAGTTAAATGCAAAGTAAATATCCTGCCACTGACGATAAAAATTTCCTAAATATACTGAGATTGTTCAAGCGATCAAAGGGCACAGTACACAAATTCAGCACAATATATTGAAAATAATTTATCAAATTCCCAAAGACAAATTCACATCTCTTGCATATACTACTAGTAAAGGTAAAGTTTAGAAATCAATTTACAAATAAAAGCCCGTAGAAAGTTTTTAAAGTTTTTTTAAAGTTTTCCCATAGAAAGATTTTATACATCTGTTTAAGCGACAATTATAGAAAAAATGAACTAAAACTGAATGAGTTAAATCACAAACCTGAAACTGTGGAATCGTCATTTCAAAGCACTTGGTCTTTACTTGGCCTGAATGATCTGCCACTTTTAGCATCACTGCAACATAAGGATACTTAAGCGATCTGCAAGTGTCTGAGCTCACAGCCATACCCAGTTTCCACTGGAAATCTACAAGCTTTCATAAGACAGGACAAAATAATACATTAGCAGTTAACTTTACCTGGACCGCAGATATTTATTCAATTTTACTACTCTCACACTCAACTTTTAGTTTCAATGATGGTCATTTTTAACTAAAATATCTTCATTTTAATATTGCTAGAGGAACAATAATCAAATGAAAACTGTAGCGGTAATAAGGGATACAAACACAGTTAGAAAACACCATCACAGTAAAAAATGGAAAAAAGCAAAAAGTGAAAAAAGAAATCTCCACTCCAATGTATAATGGAAGTGGAAGGAAGATGTGGCAGTACTGGTTTTCTTTAACAGGCTTAACTTTTGCTCCTGTGCTTCAGGGACTCCAAATGTTTTAGAGTATCTTTTAGTTCATTTTCCTGTTCCATGCTCAAGCCTTACATTAGCACGTGTAGTGATAAGGTGGTTTTGGATTTCATCAGTGTTCATGACAGATACATGCCCTGGGTGATGTGCTATGCAGTTTACATGTGTTAAATATCTCCATGAATCAACACAACATTATAGGTTATTGTTTCCACTTTTCGGACAACAAAAGCCGACTTCAGAGAGCTTAGGTAATGTACATAAGGTCACACGTTTTTGGAATCAGAACTGAAATCAAAGTCTGACTCCAAAGATCCCATGCTGAGTGACCACTGGTTGTCTCAATACTTTTTACCTAATTCCTGTCGATGACTGTTAAATGATGCCTAGCATAAAATATGCAGCTGTTAATACTGCCTCAGAAACATGACTCTACGACATAAAACACAAGGGCCAGGTGCGGTGGCCTGTAATCCCAGCACTTTGGGAGGTTGAGGCAGGCGGATCATGAGGTCAGGAGATTGAGACCATCCTGGCCAAAATGGTGAAACCCCATCTCTACTAAAAATACAAAAATTAGCCGGGCATGGTAGCACATGCCTCTGGTCCCAGCTACTTGGGAGGCTGAAGCAGAAGAATCGCTTGAACCCAGGAGGTGGAGGTTGCAGTGAGCTGAGATTGCGTCACTGCACTCCAGCCTGGGACAGAACAAGACACCGTCTCAAAAAAAAAAACACCAAACAAAAACAAAACCAGAAAACACAGGGATAGAATACTGTCTGTCTTGTTTCCAAAGCTTAGCCTGGTACATAGCAGGCACTCAAAAAGTACTTGCTCACTGACTGATGCCTTTTTCTACCAAACTAATGCTCACTGGGCAAAAAACTTCACTTGCTAATATATTTCTTTTTGTAAATGTTAGGATTTTTGTAAAACCCACCACATGTCCTACCACATATCCATCATAAACACTGATGAAATCCAAATCACCTTACCGCTATTTACTCTAATGTAATATTTGAGCTTGAGGACTATGGTGAGAAAAAGAAATGGAATGGTTCCCACGTGTGCCTCGGTCAACTACGAAAGTTATATAACCCATCTTCTATTTTAGGACTTTTGGGGTATAGAATAGGGAAAGGCATTTGTAAATCCCCCATTTTTATAAAAGGGGACCAAAAATTCCTCCTCTCTCAGACTTGCTTTGCACGAATCTCCTAGAGCATTAAGTCTAAGCTGGTGCTGACAAAAGGTTAACATCTTTTATAAGTAAAAAGATTGAATAAATTCATTTTAAAGAAAAGTTTTCCATATAAAAATAGAGAAAGTCAAATCACAAAATAACTACAAATGTCTAATAAACACATGAAAATGTGCTCACCTTAAGAAACAGGAAATTAAAGTCACAATTAGATACCACTACACAGCTACCAAAATGGCAAAAATTTAAGTCTGAAAATTCCAAGTATTGACAAGGAAGGATGTGAGGCAATGGGAAGTGTCACATGATGTTGATGGAAGTGTAAACTGGGCCAGTCAATTAAGGAACTTGCTTTAGCTAGTAAAACTGTAGCTATGCATCCTGAGATCCAGATTTTACTAGGGTTAGAACTTGGAAAAACTTGTGCATATGTACACGGGACACATACACGAGAATGTCTTTGGCAGCTTTATTCATAATAGCCCTAAACTGGAAACCCAAAGGTTCATTAGAAATAAAATGGATAAATGAAATGCTAGACAGCAATAAAATGAACTTCAGTTACACGTAAAACCAAAAATGTTAAAACAAGTCCAGAATTTATGATTCTGTTCAATGAAACTTGAGAAACAGCTGGTAAAACTATAAAGAGATGAATCTGACTATCCTTTGGGGTGGAGAGAAGTGATTGAAGAGGAGCGTGTGGTGGGCTCTGGGGGACTGGTAACACTCCATTTACTGACTTTTGCTTGTGGTTACATGAGTTTTCACTTTTAAATTCATTTTTGTGCCCTTTTTTGCATATATAGTCCAGAGAGAGAGAGAGCAACATAAGTGAGCACATTTCAGGTTGAAAGGTAGAATTTATTGTAGTCTAGGGGGCTAAGGAAAAGCTTTACAGAAGGCATAACATTTAAGTTCTATTTTGAAGAATACACAGAACTGGAATTGAGAGGAAAATGTGTTTTATTTATATATACCATAAATGCACACCTAGCAAAGAATACTTAATAAATATTAGGTGGAACCAATTATAGATTAAAAAAGTCAAAATTTGGTTTAGGGATGGAACAGTTATCTCTCTTAAAGTAGATGGCTCTTGTAAGACAATATGGAAAATAAAGTACACAAAAGTGATCAAAAAGTCAATAATTCTTTGCAAACTGAGCTCTCTGAGGTTTTCATGTTACTTTTATATCCTTTATCATATTATGGAAAACTTACCACATTAAGTCACTTAAAATTTCCCTGTAGGCACTGGGGATACACTGAAAGTTTCTAATTAGAGAAACTGATATCAAAATATTGATTAACGGATATATATTCAGGCTGGGCACAGTGGCTCACACCTGTAATCCCAACACTTTGGGAGGCCAAGGGAGGTGGATCATTTGACTGCCAGGGTTCCAGACCAGCCTGGGCAACAGCCCTGTCTCTACAAAAAAAAAAATACTAAAACAAGCCAGGCATGGTAGGGCACTCCTATACTCCAGCTACTTGGGAGGAAAAAGTGGGAGGACCACCTGAGCCCAGGAGGTCAAGGCTGCAGTGAGCTGTGAGCATGCCACTGCACTCCAGCCTGGGCAGAGCAAGAGTCCAGCTCTAAAGAGAGAGAGAGAGAGAGAGATTTTCATCTGGTGGCAGAACACAATAATTCAAGTCTGAAGTTATATAAGTGCCTGAACTAAGCTGGTGACAACGAGGATTAAACTGATCTTATATGAAGGATGCCTGACTAGGTCTTGATTGCTGATAGAGTACAACTATAGTTGTTCATAGAAAATTATAAAAATTTGAGCTTGGATAACTGGGAGAATGTTGAGATATCAAGTCCGAAAGTATCATTAAGAGATGATACTAGGGATATCTCAATAGGAATGTTCAGAAAGTGGCTAAAAATCCAAAAACAGAATTCAGGAGAGTTCATGAGTAGAGAGAGTTTTAACTCCAGTTCAACAGTGATATCCAAAAACTGAAAACTGAACCAGGAATTTCTTTTCCTTTTTTTTTTTTAAATTTTTCCAGACAGGATCTCAGTGTGTCGCCCAGGCTGGAGTGCCGTGGCATGAACATGACTCACTGAGCCTAGACTTCCCGGGCTCAAGCGATCCTTCTGCCTGCGCCTCTCTCCCCTAAATGTTTGAGTAGGAAATAAGAAAGCAATTTCTTATTCTATTTTTTTTTTTTTTTTTTTTTTGAGACCGAGTCTCGCTCCGTCACCAGGCTGGAGTACAGTGGCACAATCTCGGCACACTGCAACCTCGGCCTCCTGGGTTCAAGTACTTCTTCCGCCTCAGCCTCCCGAGTAGCTGGACCACAGGCGCGTGCCACCATGCCCGGCTAATTTTTTTGTATTTTTAGTAGAGACGGGGTTTCACCATGTTGGCCAGGATGGTTTCAATCTCTTGTCCTCATGATCTGCCCACCTTGGCCTCCCAAAGGTGTGAACCACCACACTTGGCCAACAATTCCTTATTCTTAACATTATTTAGCCTGTACAGCTTGATGGAAGAAGTTCCACTTCTACCATCCACATTAAAGTGGTAGATTAAAGAAGCACTGCCTATTTCATTCTCAGACTCTGAAATAAAACTGGAAGATTTCAAGCAGAAAAGCAATGAAGGTGTGCAATGCTGGAAACTTTGCTATTAAAACGATGAAACTGTCAGGCGAGGAAACAGGGAGAGCTGCCATCAAGACACTGTGCAGTTAGTCTTCACAAGTAAAATAAAGCTAGGACTAGGTTTATGTGATGTGAATTTCCAAAATTCTAACCTTAACCTTTAAATGCAAATTGAAAGCAAGCCTTCTGATAAATGTATTTTGGCCTTAAGTAGGAGAGAACTGCACAGGTTTTAAAAATAAAAGAACATAAAAGAAAAAATCAGAACAGAGAGCACTTAACACTATGGAGGATGTTAAGAATGAAACAACGCACATGGTAGCCCCAAAATTAATGTATAATGAAGTATTAAAAAAGGAAAACATACAAAGAAACAAAAAGCTAGTAGTAAAAAAGGAATTATAAAAACATCCAGAAGTAAAATGAATACATAGAATAATCAGAAAGTAAATATATAAAAAGGTAAACAAACAAATTAGCTGAAGTCACATCAAGAACTGATGTGAAGGCTGAAGTTATGAGTAATAAAAAACACGACTATAAAAAACTGTCTATAAAGATAAAACTGGCAATTCCGATGTGTTCTGAGGAAGAAAGAGAGGCCTCATTAGTAAGTATTTACTAGGCAATATTGTGTTCTGGGCATTAGGGATGTGAAAAATCAAACAGAGTACTTGACCTTCAGAATTCTAGTGGGGAAAGGCAGACAGTAAACAAAAATATAATGAAATTGTAGTAAGTATTATCATTAAAAGTGTGACAAAATGCAGGGTAAAGTGACAAGGTGACCAGAAAGGCTATTTGGATAGAGCCTGAGAAGATCTCTTTCATGTGGCTTTTGAACAGAAGGAGAACCGAATAAAATGAAGAAAAAGCCACAGGATATCTGGAGAAAAGAGCATTCTGGACTGAAGGAGAAGCATGTTTGGTGTGTTTACAAAACCATGAGCCCCAGGTGGCTGGAGGAGCTTGAGCTAGAAGAGTGGTAACAGATGAGGAATCCATTTACGAAGAGCCCTGTAGGCCAAGGTAAATACCTAAGACTTCTCCAGTGTGACAAGAATCTCTTTAAAAGCTCTGAGTATGGCCAGGCACAGCGGTTCACCCAACACTTTGGGAGGCCAAGTCGGGTGGATCACGAGGTCAGGAGATTGAGATCATCCTGGCTAACAGTGTAGGGTATCTACTAAAAATACAAAAAATTAGCTGGGTGTAGTGGCACGTGCCTGTAGTCCCAGCTACTTTGGAGGCTGAGCCAGGAGAATTGCTTGAACCCAGTAGGAGGAGGATGCAGTGAGCCCAGATCACACCACTGCATTCCAGCCCGAACGACAGAGCAAGACTCCAGATGATTAAAAAAAAAAAAAAAAAAAGGCCGGGCGTGGTGGCTCACACCTGTAATCCCAGCACTTTGGGAGGCCGAGGCGGGTGGATCACGAGGTCAAGAGATCGAGACCATCCTGGTCAACATGGTGAAACCCTGTCTCTACCAAAAATACAAAAAATTAGCTGGGCATGGTGGCGCGTGCCTGTAATCCCAGCTACTCAGGAGGCTGAGGCAGGAGAAATGCCTGAACCCAGGAGGTGGAGGTTGCAGTGAGCCGAGATCGCGCCATTGCACTCCAGCCTGGGTAACAAGAGTGAAAGTCCGTCTCAAAAAAAAAGCTCTGAGTAGCAGAGATATCTGTCCTAACTTAGATTACAAAAGGCTCATCCAGACTGCCAGATGAAGTACAAAGTTTAAGACACAAAATTGGGAGACCCTATTAGGAGGCTACTGCAGTATTCCAGAAAAGAGAACAGTGGCTTGGACCCAGGTGGCAGCAAGAGGAGGTGAATTTGGAGCCAGAGAAAACAGTATGCTGAAGTGACTGTATGTCAGCTGTGCGGGAGAGTTGTGCCACAGCAATTTGTAAATTACAGTTTAGGCCTTGGTTTCTGCCGAGTTTCTGCTCTCAGTTGTGATTCTCTGTGTTCACATTCTGTCTCACCAATTTGGGGGACAGCAATTTGCCCTGTGATCTCGCTTCTCTGATAGATCCAAGAGGAGCTGTTGATTTTTTTCAGTTTGTTCAGTTTTTCCTTGTTGTTAGGACAAGGTGGTAACTTCCAAGCTCCTTACATGCTGGATTGCAATGTAAATGTCTACTGCTTTTTGTAATTTTCTTCATAAAACTTTTAAATATCTTTTGTTAAATTTACTGCAAGGTGCTCTGTAATTTTTCTTCTTTTTTTTTTTTTAAGAGACAGGGTCTCACTTTGTCACCTAAGCTGGACTGCAGTGGCATCATCACAGCTTACTTCTGCCTCAAACTCCTAGGTTCAAGAGATTTCGTCTCAGCCTCCTGAGTAGCTAGTACTACAGATCTGTGCCTTGAAACCTGAATACTTTTTCAAAATTTTTATAGAGATAAAGTTTTGATATGTTGCCCAGGCTGGTCTCAAACTCCTGGCCTTAAGTAATCCTCCCAAAGCCCTGAGATTACAGTTGTGAGCCACCACGCCTCGCCTATAATTTCTTTATGTTATAAATGACATCTTTAAAATTATATTTTCCAACTCTTTATGTCTGAACTAAAGAACAACAAACAATAGAATCACCCTGCTGAACTCTCATATTAATTCTAATAATCTGTTTATAAATGATCTTGGCTTTTCCTATGTAAACAATCATATAACCTGTGAATGATGGCAGTGAAGATGTGCAGTAGGCTGAATAATGGCCCCCAAAATATGTCCACATCCTCATCCCCAAAATCTATGAATATGTTACCTTAAGTGACAAAACAATCTTGGTAGATGCGACAAAATTAAGGATTTGGAGATGGGGAGATTTTCCTGGATTATCCAGGTGGGCCCAATGTAATTGCAAGGGTCCTTATAAAAGGGAAGACAAAGGGTCGGAGTCAGAGAAGGCAACATGACAATAGAAGCAGAGGCTGGAATGATGTGCTTTGAGGATGGAAGCAGATACAAGACAAAGAGGAAACATTCTCTTCTACCGCCTCAGAAGGAACACAGCCCTGCAGACACCTTGATTTTGGCCCCGTAAGGCTTAGTTTAGGACTTCTGACCTCCAGAACTATAAGATAATAAATTTGTGTTTAAGCCAAAAATAGTTCAATTTTTAAAACTCTACAATTAGTGTGATTCTGTTTCAGAGTATTTTTTTTTTTTTTTTTGAGACTGAGTCTCGCTCTGTCGCCCAGGCTGGAGTGCAGTGGCCTGGTCTCAGCTCACTGCAACCTCCTACCTCAGTCTCCTGAGTAGCTGGGATTACAGGTACCCACCACCATGCCCAGCTAGTTTTTGCATTTTTAGTAGAGACGGGGTTTCACCATGTTGGCCAGGCTGGTCTCAAACTCCTGACCTCATGCGACCTGCACGTCTTGGCCTCCCAAAGTGCTGAGATTACAGGTGTGAGCCACCACGCTGGGCCTTCAGAATATCTTACATACAAAACTTTAAAGTAAGAAAATGGATAAAATGACTTATGAAAGATTGAATCGAAATGCGGTAAGTCATATAACTAAGCAAAGTCAGGTAAATGGATGACATATCTTTGACTTCCCCTCCCTCCCAGGAATCCTCGAAAGCAAGATCAGTTAGAGAAAAATGACAGCACTCAATGGACACCTCTTTCAGCCCCTGTATTCTAATTATTTCTTACCTCATCCCTTTCTTATACTTTGTATGGACTTGGGTAAGTCCTGGCCTAAAAATACTCTAGTTTCAGTGCTCCTACTCTGGGAAGTGTGCTATAAGTTATTTGCCTAAAAATAGTTTATTAGCTAAAACAGCACAGCAACACTTGAAACAGAAATGGGACTAAGGTATACTTTAATAGTCAAATTCATATTCCTAGCATTATGAATCCACACTCTAAAAGGCTAAAATGCTAAACTGCATCTTCAAAAATAACGTTTTTAGAGACTAAGAAAATGTTTGGGGTGCTGTATCTGAAAATTTTAATAACTTCTTCTATACCCATCACACTTTAAAATGTCTTATTTCTAGCTTTGAATAAACGTCGCCTAATCAAAGCCCAGCAATCCCTGATCCGCACTTTGGGCTAGTGAAGATACATAACAACGGCAACGGCTACCAGCTCAGGTGCAAAGGAGAAGCAGCAATGCAGGGATGCGGACTGAAGGTCATCGCCTCGCCGACACAGGACTGGGGGAGACACGGGGAAGGCTCAGGGTGGTAAGGTCTCGCGGCCGTAGGAGGCGGGCCGGTGGAGGACAGGGCGGGGCGGCCGCTCACTCACCTGGTTGGTGACCTGAAACGGAAGCAGAAACACAATTTAGGGAGACATCTTTCTTGTTCCAGAGCCTCGCTACCCGCTCTCCTTCCAGGCTGGGACTCACCTCGGACTTAGCATCCAGCAGCGGCTCGCTAGTCGCCTCCATGGGCAGCGTGTAGGGCTAGCGCTGCGGACTCGAGCGAACGCCCTCCTCTGCCAGCGCTTCCGCTTCCACGTCCTGCCCCTCGCGGCCTGGCGCACGCGGCGGGCGTAGCGGGGGAAGCTGGAAAAAAAGCAACTTTATGTAATTCAATTATTTCCTAATTAAGCATTAGTTTTAAGGAGACACTGAGCTAAAATTAAATGATTGTATAGAAAAGGCCAAAGGCTTGGGAGATACTTTGAGAAGAGAAGCACCTATTAATAGGATCCCGCTTCCTCCCCCTAACACTGACACGTGGGCTCTTCCAGTCTGGAGCGGGGCGGGGCACAGCAACCCGCTGCGCCAGTCCTTAATACCAACCAAACTCGGAAGCCACTGGGCGACCACGCCCCTCTGTCCATGGGAGTTTGTCCTGCGTGGGAGGCATGTGGGAACTACAGTTATAGGGTGAACTTAGGTCACTCGGAGTTACTTCGCTGGCCTAGCTGTGGGCGGGGGATGCTTTCCATTATCCCTGCTGTCCCTCTCTTACCCCAGCCCTCAGTCTGGCTGCGGCAATACCTTCCCATCTGGGCTTCCCATTCTTTCCTATTGACTTCAAATCCATCCTACACAAAGTATCCACAATGATTTTTTTTCCCGCCAACTTTTTATTTTGAAAAACTTTTTTTTTTTTTCTGAAAAATTGCAAAAATAATTCAATGAACATCTATATACCCTTCATCTAGATTGACCAACCGTTCTCATTGTACACATTCGCTTTAATTTACCTCGGCTTATATATAGTAAGGATACTTCACTCCTAAATGCTTGAGCATGTTATCTCCTAAAAACTAGGGCATTCTTCTAAATAACCACAATACCACTACTGGGAAATTTAACATTGATAAAAATACTGTTATCTAATAAATAGGTCAAATTAAAATTTCCTCAGTTGTTTCAACAATATTCTTTAAAATTATTCCATACCGCATCCACAAACAGAATTCAATTAAGGACCGCCTGGAATTTGGTGATCATGTCTCTTTAGTCTCCTCTAATCTAGAACTGCACCAGTGAAGTGTTAGCAGGCCTGTGTTCCTCAGTGAAGGTTCCCCGGGTGGTGGGGTTTGGAGGGGGAGAAGGAAAGGGGGAGCTCTGCTTTTAGGCTTATTCAGGTTGTTGGCAGTTATGTGCAGTTTCCTTGCTGGCTTTTAGATGGGGATTCCCAGCTCCTAGAGGCCATCCGCATTCCTTGGCTTATGGCCTCGTTCTCCATCTTCAAAGGCAGGAAGGGCAGGTCAAGTCCTCCTCACACTTTAAATCTCTCAGATCTCCCTTTCTGTATGATCTCTCCTGTTCCTGTTCCTTCTTTTGCCACATCTCTCTGATCATAACCTGAAAAAGTTCACTGTTTCTAAGGGCTGAAGTCATTATTAGATCAAGTATAACCAAATAAGAATAATCTCTTTTTTTGAAACAGAGTCTCACTCTGTCACCCAAGCTGGAGTACAGTGGCATGATCTCAGCTCACTGTAACCTCTGCCTCCCTGTTTCAAGCAATTGTCCTGTCTCAGCGTCCTGAGTAGCTGGGATTACAGACATGCATCACCATGCCTGGCTAACTTTTGTATTTTTAGTAGAGATGGGATCTCTACACTTTGGCCAGGCTTATCTCAAACTCCTGTCCTCAAGTAATCTGCCCACCTCAGGCCTTGGCCTCCCAAAGTGCTGGGATTACAGGCGTGAGCCACCGTGCCTGGCCTTTTTCTATCTTAAGGTACATAAATTTTAATTGTATTGTTAAAGTTCCTTCTGATCAGTACCTAAATTAGTGTTTCAATGAATAATCAGGATGGAAATCTTTGGAGGGGGAAATTTTTAGAATAATGCTTACCTCAAATACCCTCATAGGATTGTTGGAGAATTACATTAGTTAATGCATGTTAAGCACCTAAAAATGTCCCTGGCATGTAGTACTCAGAAACTAGGCCAAAAAAAAAAAAGAGAGAGAGAAAAAGAAAAAAAAAAATGCCCCTGATTCAAAGGTTATTGGACCTGATAAAATGTACTAATTAGCTTGTACTATGTATTTTGCCAGGAAATCTTTTACTATTCAGGATGGTCCCTGAATAAATCAGATGATTTCTTCTCTATGGAAGTCTGATGAAAAGACAGAACACTGCTGTGCATCCAGCTGGTCAGTCAGTGCATTGGCTCTATTTGCCAGGAAATCTTTTTCTTGAGCTCTTGGTGTCATCATGGTGAGGAGGTGAGGGGCTGGTACACACACACACACACACACACGCCCCTTAACTTTGTAAAAATGCTTCAAAAAGGCGAAAAGATACATATTTTAAGAGGTAATTTTTGTTATTTCATTGTATTTTTCATGAATTCTTTTAAAAACTTTACTATTGTTCTAATTCAACATGAGTGCACTTCAAAAACCTATTGATCTGCTTTGGGAGAGTATAATGTCATTAGCATTTAGGGTAATTTCTGCCAATTGTTACTCCAGCAACACATGTGATAAACTATTTATGTTTCAGAGCTCCATCTTACAAGAGATCAGAACTTACACAAACTTTGCACTTGGAAAATACAGATGTTATGAATAGAGTCAAAAAATGCTAACATTAAAAATGCATGAGTATAATTTTGTTTTATTTATTTTTACATAATGACATATAACATGTCAGAACATATATTTGGAGCTCTTACAATAAGCCTAGTATTATCACATGCATAGGAAGAAATCCATAGAACCATGGCATAAACTCTGATCTCATGAGCATTATGGTGTAATGTAGAAAATGAAATTGATACTCATGAAGCAGGCACCCCTTCAATTTAAGTATTTATTTTAAGGCTTTTTGTGTCAAGTGATATGCAGTTGTTCCTCAGTATACTCAGGAGATCAGTTCCAGGACCAGTTAAGGCAGATGACAGTGTACCAAAATCTGAATAGACTCCAGTCCTGTTGCCTGTCCTGCCAAACTTGAGTATAGGAGAAGTCTGCCTCCCTGTTTGTGGGTTTAGCATCTTGGGAGTATACCAGCTTTGATCTGCGATTGGTTAAAAAAAAATCTCACCAGCCCACTTCAAACCCATGTTGTTCAAGGGTCAACTGAAATTGGAGCTCGAGGTAGCCTAAGCAAAGTAGCAGAAATTACTGTCTCACAGAGGCAGCCTCTGAAATGTAGCAGGGGAGCCAGCTGCAGGGTCAACAGACTTGTGAGATTTAAATAGCACAAGTGTCCCATCTCCACTTCTCAGTTGTGGCCTGGCCTTCTGCTTGTCTGTTGGCTGCGTCCTCTTCAGCTTCTCCATACGTTATTGGAGAGTGGTGTATATATATATAGAAACATGACCACCAGCATCTCTGGTTTCACAGCATTATGACTCATGATCCAAGGAGAAAGAGGAAGCTGCCCGTCCATCTCAATTCTCAGAGAAGGACTCTAGTTGATCTGCTTGGACCAATACTGGGTCTGGAGTGATGTATTACTATTTTTGCCCATGTTACCTTCTGTGTCCATAATGGGTAGAATTCTGTGATTGGTAGAGTCACTGGAAACCAAAGGGGTGAAAAGATGTGCTCTATAGGAAATAGAGGTGAGAATGATGCAACAAAACTTGGATGAAAATATACCAAGGAAACAAAATAAATGTCCACTCAACATATCTGCTAGACTGTATTATACTGCACTATCCTGTGTAATAAATGGATATGGTAGGCAGAATAATGGCCCCCAAATGATACTTTCTAATTCCCAGAATTTACAGATATATCATATTGCATGTTTAAATAACAAACAGAGGCTCTCGAAAAGAAAATATGTATTCCTCATAGGGCATCGCAGCGGAAATACGTATGCCATAGTAAACTATGTGCATATTCAAAAAGGTAAAGGAAGACAAAGGTTTCTGATGGAAAAATGAGAAGGATTACGTAATTGTTTTGTGATAATTATCCTTGCCAACAAGTAGTAATAACAAGGGTGATGCCAGTCAGAGGCTGGACAGGCAGTTGCTGGGCAGATGGCCTTGCAAAAGTATTTTTTGTGTAAGGATGCAATGGCCTTTGTGCAAGGTTGTGGTTTTGGCAGAGTCTTTTGTGGTAGTTTTTATCAAGCATTTATGAATGAAAGCTCTCTCATGGCCTTCCCCAGCTCTATTTGTCAAGGTTTCTTTCTTCTTCATCTTCTTTTTTTTTTTTTTTTTTTGATACAGTTTCACTCTTATTGCTCAGGCTGGAGTACAATGGCATGGTCTCCGCTCACTCCAACCTCTGCCTCCCAGGTTTAAGCAATTCACCTGCCTTAGCCTCTCAAGTAGCTGGGATTACAGGCATGTGCCACCATGCCTGGCTAACTTTGTATTTTTAGTAGAGATGGGGTTTCACCATGTTGGTCAGTCTGGTCTTGAACTCCTGACCTCAGGTGGTCTGTCTGCCCCAGCTTCCCAAAGTGCTGGGATTACAGGTGTGAGCGACTGCGCTGGCCCCCTTTTTTTTCAACACATGTGACTCCATTATGATTCTTACAACTTTCACAGTTACATAAAAAGAAGGAATTAACATTACTAATTAGCTGACCTTAAAAGGAGGAGAGTTTCTTGGATTACTCAGATGAGTCCAATGTATTCACAGGGTTCTTAAAGATGGAAGAGAAAGGCAGAGGAGTTAGAGTCAGAGAGAGTGTGTGTGTTAGAGTGATAGATTACACATGAGAAAGACTCAGCCAGCTTTTGCTGGTTTTGAAGACAGAAGGAGGCCAAAAACCAAAGAAGGAAGGCTACTTCTAGAAGCTAGAATGGGCACACTAGCAAAGATGTGGAATCAACCTAGATGCCCATCAATGGTGGACCTGGATAAAGAAAATGTACATAT